GGGCGATACCGCTTACCGAACGACCGAACGTGGCGGAGACCGATCCACAGAGCGACAAGGGTATTAGAGCGGCCGACGAAGGCAGTGAGACGGAAGCGTCGCGAGCGGAGGCGAGCGTGTCCGAGGACGAAGCGAGCCAACCGCCGATCCTGACGGCGGAGACCGCGACGGTGAGAGGCGACGCGAAGGCGGGATGTTTAGCGGAGCCGAGGCCGGGGCCGAGTCGAAGGACGGATGACCCGCAGCCGGGACCGAGTCGCGAGAGGGAGCCGAGCCCCGTGATCGGGGCAATCTCAGTTGTTAATCTGTCCGACGATGAGTCGGACGTTTCGTCTTTTAGCTCACCAGCGTTTTCAGAGTTGACAGCGTCGGAGCCGGGTAGAATGCAGCGGCTGAACGTTTACCTGGAGGACTGTATACGGGAGTACGATCCCGAGGCCGAGTTCGAACGGGCGTTCGAGGAACCAGCGAGATTGGAACGAACGAGGGACGAGCCGACGAAGCAACGGGACGGCAACGGAGGCGCCAAAAAGAGGGATCGCCGACGTAGGAAGAGAGGCGCGGAGGACCGCGACGCGAAGCGTAGATTGCGAGTTGCGAAACAGAAGCGTAACGCCAAGGGCAGATTTGTAAAGCGAGACGAGCGCGAGGCCGAGGTGCCAGAGCGAGGTGAGGACGTTTCGAGCGGTGAGCGTGTGCGCGAGTAGGGTGAGATGAAACGGCACTCGTGGCGTACCGGCGAACGAGTGCGTTTCAGCGGGGAGAATGCGACCGTCACTGGCGAGCCAGCCACGGGCCGCATCTCGCGACACGCGAATAGTCGGAGCTCAGACACGGTAACGAGCACAGGCGGACGATTTTACCCGCGCGTATCTAAAGATAATATAATATAGTGAATAATGTAAAAGATAGTCGAAGCTCAGACCTGATAACGAGCAGAGGCGGACGATTTTACCCGCGCGTATCTAAGAGGCGGATGATTTTACCCGCGCGTATCTAAAGATAATATAATATAGTGAATAATGTAAAAGATAGTCGCAGCTCAGACACGATAACGAGCAGAGGCGGATGATTTTACCCGCGCGAAATGATATTGTATTAGAAATCGGAATAAACCGCTGCTACGGAAACGATTGTATAAAATGCCGCAATGCAGGCCGGGAAATTAATTATGTGAATTGCATAAACGATTGTGTGACAGTGCCTTTGGAGGCCATTCGGGAAAATAAATATGTAATAGCGAGACGCGGTAATGATTATTAAATGAACGAAACGAGTGTTGGAATAAGCAGAGAGGAGCGAAGAGCGTTACGAGTAAACACCCGTGACTAGAGTGCGGAGAGAATCGCAACGCGGCACGGAGTCGGACGCGATCGCGGAGGCGTTTATATTAGAGTTATATATAGATATATATATATATATTGTTTTATATTGGTTTCTAGACAGTTAATGATTGTAGTTTATTTGTAGTTAACGAGCATATCGTATGTGACCGTCGTTGAATAAACATGTTCTGTTGTGCAAAAAGTTAAAGCATAAGTCGAGTGTACAAGTTATTTTCTTGATCCTAAACCCGGGGATAGTGATAGCGGCGAGAGGCCATGCTGACGGGACAACGATAAACGGAGATATCCAGTGCGAACGAGCAGAATTCAAGAGAACCTTCGCCTTAGGTGGTGAAAAGGCGTGGCGACCGTTGACAAATCCGTCGGACAGGACGACGAGAAACTATCCGGACCAGCTGTCCGGTCACATCAGAGCTACGAACTACGAGCTTCATTCTCATCGTGAGTTGCCACCGTCATTCAGAGGCACGCCGAGGACAGCACATTCAAGGCCGCTTCCACGAGGAGGTCGCCACCGGAAGTCGTCAACAAAGGCGCGGCTGCGCAGTACCGGTAAGGAAAACTGTTCGCGGTAGTGCCGACGAAGTTCCTTGTTACGTCTGTTTCAAGCAGGTTAGCTCGCGATGACGTCTGCGCAAGATATCAATGTGCTCAAAAAACA